CTCAGTTTTCTAACTCTCAGCCCTACTGAGTTATATCATGGTGAGGAAGGAGGGGGCCAGTGTTAGAGCTTTAAGGGGAAACCGTGTCTCTGGTGGGGCACAGAACAAGGAGAAGCTGGAGAAGTTACGTCACACGGCAGAACAGTTCTGTAGCCGTCTAGGCCGCTACCGTATGCCCTTCGCCTGGACCGCCGTGCACCTGGCCAACATTATCAGCAGCGCCGGCTCCATGGACCGAGATTCCTCTGATTCTGAGAGCGGTGAGCAGAGGGAGACCATGGGGGCCAAGGGCACAAGGTTTGATTGGTGGGGGAGGGAGAGAGGGGATAGCTGTAGTATGAATACCCTTCTGAGCTCAAACACTCCAGGGCAGGGGTGGGGAATCTGTGGCCTTCTAAATCCTTAAGTTCTATCTTTTGACTGAATCCAAATTTTATATTTGTTCTGTAAAATTCAAATTCGGTCAAAAGGCCACACTTAAGGATTTAGAAGGCAAAATTCAGATTCAGTTCAAAGGTAGCACTTAAGGATTTAGAAGGCCACATGTGACCTTACGGCCACAGGTTCCCCACCCCTGCTCCAGGGTAACTCTTGTCTTTGGGAGAGGCCTTACTAAATGGGGATGCTGATCCTGGCCCCCTTGAATATGCAGGGTGAGGGGATCCCTCTCAGGGGCCTAGAGGGTGGGTGTCTTTGGAGGGCCTTCAGTCAGAGGCAAGATTGATCAGCGTGGGCAAGGACATAAGCATACCTGTTCAGAGGATAGGCTCTACAGCCAACAAGGACCATGTATTTGGGGAAGCTAAGTGTTAGACCCCATTGTGGTCATGACTTACCTAAGGCGGGGCAGGTAGGTGGTGCAGTGGATAGAGCACCGGCCCTGAAGTCAGGAGGACCAACTCTTCATGACCTCATTTGGAGTGTTCTTGGGAAACAGACTGCAATGATTTGCCATTTCCTTCTCCAGCTCATTTTACAGAAGAGGAAACAAAGGCAAAGAGAAGTGAAATGACTTGCCCAGGGTCACACAGTTCCTAAGTGTCTGAGGCTGGATTTGAACTCAGGTCTTCCTAACTCTGGTGGCAGTGCTCTGGGCACTGGGCCCAGGGAAACTCACAACTCAGGACTCTAGATGTGGATGACTAATTCTTCTTAGGGAAGAGACTGCGCCACATAGCTCCTCTCTCTTTTTGGAGCCTCTCAGCTGTCCCACTAGACCACTCTCTCTGCTTTTCTGGTATTCTCAGGCTTTCGAAGCCATACCGAGCTCTTTTAGCTAATAGTAGTGTCAATCCGAGAGTCTGCAGGGCTGCCCATGTCTGTTCCCTAGGCACTGAAGTGGAGGGATGCTTTCAGTGACCCCTTCTTCAGTAACTTTTCTTCTTTAATCCTTGGATGCGCAAAGGTATTCATCCAGAACTTCCTTCCGTAGACTTTGAGGTTTCATAGTCAGTAGTAGGTATATTGCTACACACTACATAGGCAGTAAAGGGCCTTTGAGGAGTTTCCCACTCTCAAGCAGTAGAGGGAGCCAGAGAGCAATGCAGCCTCTCCCCATCTCCCTCTTTACACAGCATAGGATGTTGCTGCTTTTTCTAGTCAGCTCCCAGCTTCAGAGCTTTGCCTCATCCACATCAACTCCCAACATCAAGTTCAGAGCCCTCTTGTCTCTGGGCAGCTGGCATCAGCTGTGCTCAGCTCTCATCATTTTCTCAGCTCCGTCGGTTTCTGCGCTTCCCAGATTCTCTAGGTGTCTTTAGTTGCCTTCTCATTCTGTGATTCATTCATTGACTCACTTGCTTATGAAATCAGGGCCTCCTCAGCTGGAGTGACCCACCTCTACTTTACGGTGAGAAACCCCAAATTTACTTTTCTGTCTGGTATGACACAAATAGTTAATAGTACAGTTTTCCCATAGTCCCCAAACAGTTCTTTGATTTAGAGGTTCCCAGCATTAAACTTTAATATCCTTAAAGTAGTCATATTCAGATTAGCTGCTGGGAAACAAGTCATTGCAGCCATCTCTACTGTCAGGTGGAGACCTTTCCTTCTGAGGGGCATGTTTTCACTTGGCTCCTTTCAGAACGTTGGTCTGAGGTGCTTCAGTTTGTCCTAGAATGGTTTCTATTTCTCCTCAAGTGGCCTTTTCTCTGTTTCTCACAAAAATGTCCTTTTCCTGCCCCTTTCAGTAAATAAAATATCCACATAAGAAAAGGGCAGTAA